TGTTTAAAAAACAGGACAAAAGCATTAGCAGATGAAAACTTAGGTTAGAGATCTCATCGCTTGTATTCACGGTGGGTAGAGCCATACTGAATGTTCTGCCGATTTTAGATTGTTCCGTGCTCCGTCAGAAGGGCTTTGAGAATTAGACAGGTGATCTACTATTGAAACTGATATTTTCATCTCTAATGCCAGGTAGTCCCATAAATATAAATTTCTTAGAATCATAGTTCAGACTGAAAATGTGAATTCTTTAGGGCAATACATGATAGACAGTCTAGTCTAAAAAGTTTTAAAATTGAAAGTAAAATGTAGAAAAATGAAACCAAAAAAAAAAAAGCCATTTCAATAGGCATGTACTTGTATTTCTGAACTCCAGAGATAAAGCAAAACATCTTAAAACTTTCAAAGAGAGAGGAAAAATAAATTTACATAGTCCACACAAAACAATGGCAATCAATTGACGTAGATATGCCCAGAAGTGAGAAGAGCAGGCACTTTAAAATTCTAAGGGAAAATTACTTTAAAGCAATAGTTCTATATTTGGGGCAATTATCCATTTTAGGTGTAAATATATCTCAGGTCCCTGATAACATGGAGAGTTTGCCACTCATCCTATCATCATGTTTCTAGAGATAGTGATATAAAAAGCTAGCAGCTAAAAATATTCAGAGATTAAAAACAAAAAGTAAGAGATCTGATGCATTTTGAATGGAAACACAGTGAACACTAGTATATTAACTCTTCTTCAGACAAGGATGTTAATAATATGTTTCATTTTTTTCTTGTGGGTTGAGAATTCTTGATTTTAAAGTAGCATATTCATCAAATTATAACGTTGTAAATGTTATTATGATTATTACTTTTGAAGCAAAAGAACTTTGAGCCAAGGCTAAGTTGATGAAACAGGTTGCCTAGAAAGTGTGCACCAAACTATAGAGCAAAGAGAAGGGTAAAATGAGGGGAGGTTGGAAGAATTTACATTGGTCCATTCAAAACAGCAAGGACAACTGGTGATCATTTTCAAGGTGAGGTGGGGCTTCTACTTGTGGACCTTGAAAAGCCTGTAACTATCAGGCTCTTTCTGTCTCAGGTAAATTTACCAGATTGGGGGTTCAGGGTTCTTGTGTTTCTGTTCTGTTTTGTTTTCCCATTTATCTATGTCATGTTCTATCTAACATTTTGATCTCTAATTGTCTGACTCTGTCACCAAATAAAGTCTGAACTTAGGCAAGAAAGAGAGTTTCTATTTATTATCCCTTAAAATATCCAAATCCAAACTTTAAGTAAAATTTGGGAGCTGAATCTCATGCAGAAACAGGAATTCTTTGGGGCCAGCCCATTTAAGTTTTGGGTCTTGCAGTAACTTCTATTATCCTATGAAGTTATTTTTGTGTTGTGTGACTGGCTTTAGGTGAACAAGTAGCTTTACATCTTAGCTTAAGACAGGCTGCAGAGCTAAAAATGGAAATTAATTCTTGAAGAACAGGCTGAGAGATATGAGAAAAATATGTAAACTTTCCAGGCTTACTTGCTCTTAATATGAATCTTAGAAAAGGGAAACATTTTTTTAATAGAAAAAGGTACGTAGAGTCCAGTGAAATCAAGAGAAGATGATGGATAAGATAGCAGAGTCGTAATAATCCCAGAGGGAATTCACATTGAGAAAACTATAAAGAATTACAATATTAATGTAGAGATTACATATTGAGAGTAATAGATTCAGTCCTTATAAGTTAGGAGACTTGTACCAGGCTACGGAGAAACCAGTCAAATTTTAAAGAGGAAGACTAAGAAAATTAATGTGAAAAATTCAAAGAATTATTAAGTGAGCCTCTTTTTGACACAATTATTATAGGCATTCATTGTTTTCTATGTGAACCTTCTGGAGAAACTTATGAAATTGAAGCTTTACAGGAAATTATAGCCTGGATGGGGCATAGTAAAGACAATCCCGGCAGAACAATATAGATCAACTTTGAGCCTAGGTGACATATTATTCTAATCAAAGATAGCACCTATGCGATAATACTCAGACAGGTAAAGAAGAACAAGTGTTTGCTGAGTAGTGTGATTTGGTAGATCCAGTATTACTGATTTCCCATTTCTTATCATAGATCCACAGCTAGAAATGCAAGCCGAACCCATACTTGCGCTAGTAAGCACAGTGAAATAAAGTAAGGACACAAATCTTATACACTGTTCTAACCTATGTGTGTTAAATTCGCTGGATGGTGAATGGACCTCAATTTAGACTTCTGTTTGGGACTGGCAACCTTTCAAATTTCTGAGCTTTGCAAGAATTTGGAATGTCTCTAATACTGCCCTCTGAAAGTATCTCTCCCATATGGTCTCTAAAAACTCTTCTATGATTAGCTTCTCTAGAACGTTCTCCCAATTAAATTTAAAGTCCCATACTGTATTAGTTGTAGGTATCTACTATTTTAGCAAAGTTGAAAATATGATTTTTATCTAATTCTGCTTGTTTTCAGAGACTGGTGAATAACTGCTATGAACTTTGAGACAGTAATCACAGGTCTGATTAAGTACTAATTAAGCATCGTCTTTGCTATACCATAGGGCAGGATATAGAAACTCTTGATAGGAAACCAGTGAGAATGACCATACACATCCTACCTATAATGTTTAACATTTTACAAAAGGTTTCTCCACTTATTGTTTTAATTTTTTTCAAAAAAATGTTTTGAAAATGTTTTTTCTTCTGACTTGATAAAGGATGGTAAGCAAGAAAATGAAACACAGAAAGTATGATACCTTAGAGTACACGGAAAGAGGCTATGGTATCTTCAAGGAAAAAAAAGAAAGAAATTGGAATTGCTTAAACAAAAATGTAAATACTTGAGAATATTTAAGAGCATGTTGCCAATATTTAATAATAATTAGCAATGACATAAAATTTGAAAGAAATAAATGTTGAAATCAAATAATTTGAAGGCAATTTATCTTGTCTATCTCATAAAATTCATAACATGAAAACATTTTTTTCTGTGTGATAACCCAGAAACCAAACATGAGAACTTGGATATCTCATTCGCACTGGTGACATAATTATCCTCACGGAGTTCTTGCTTTGTGATTGCCATACTAAGAGAAATAACTTTATACTTTTAGTAATTTACTTTGTCTTGTCTTGTCGGATCAATTTTAATCCAAATACTATTAGTCTATAGGAAATAATTATACCAAGGAAAGTTAGCTATTATTGCCTAATAGCATTTTCTTAATATTCTTAATATCAAATACAAAAATTCTATTTAATACATTTTATAATTATATTTTGCAAAAACATTGCAAAATAAAAAAGTTGAGCATAGTAAGATCTTCAAACTTGAATTTTGGAAAAGTCATGAAGTATTTTTACTATGTTTTCCTACATAAAAAAATGCATCACAACTCTTCTGATGACTCAATAAATATAGAACTAAAACCAGTTTCGGTCTTTAGGGTTCTTAGGAGTTGAGAAATAGTTGTTCAAAATGAATATTGAGTCAATGCAAACAGTGTATAAAGGTAACAACACCTAAACTTTAAATCTATTACTTTAAGTCATTGAATCATAGGAACGTTTCATTCTAGTAGTTGTTACAAAGGATACTTAACTTGGCTTAATCACTGAACGGTATGGTGCATTCTCAGTACTAACCTTATATATGAGAGCTGGTCATGTCATTATTTGCAAAGATTTCTTTGTGAGAGAAATGAGAATGAACTCTTAAAGGAAATAAGCCATGTCCACAAGCCAAACTGAGTTTTAATTATTCATATTCCTTTAGACTTGAAATAAACTAATTTAAAGAATGTATCCAAGAGTATCTTTAGGAGGTAAAAATAGCCATAAAATTAATCATAGTATTCCTTGATATGCCTAATCAAAGTTAATATACCTAAGAAAGATTATGATAATATTTAAACATATTTTGAGTGTCAGTAACTAAAGAAGAAATGTATGTTATTAGATGTGACTGAGTAATTATATGCAGGAAATAATGTTCCCAAGGTCATTTTTTTTCTGGAGAGTATTCCTACTGAATTTGGATACATACCTAATTTTAGTAAGTAGCAAACTAATGAGCAATTATAGCTTAGTGAGTTTATCTGTAGCTTATAAGTATATAGCTCTGCATTATTTGTCAAATAGCTACAAAGCAAGTGGGAAATAAATATATAATATAAACTGACCAGCGTGCATACTGTAACCATACAGCATATTTGTTACAAAGTGACTAGGACAAGGAATATTCTTTCAGAAGATAGAAGGAAAATGTGCAAACCATAAACAGTGTAATATCTGAGAGGGAGTAAAAGAATAACCAACTAGTAGATTCTGAAATAAAGAGGAGTTATTTTGCTTTTCAAAACACATATTCTAAAGGTGCTGTTTTTCACTGAAAATGTTACTGTGTATCTTAAAATATGTGATGTATGGATCTACTTGCTTTCCAACAGCTGCTGAGACTTAAAATTTGCCCATCTTGCAATTCATTTAAATGTTCCATATTAGATGTGAATGGAAAGATACACTATCAGTTTCCTGACAGATGCAATCCAATCTGCTGTTCGTCTAAAATAAGTTTATATTCAATCAGTCAGACGAATACCTCTCTCCATTTTCAAGAGTAGATAATTATAGCTGTCATGTGAGAAAACACAAAGTTGGATAGTATCATTTTATCATAGCGATTCAGTACTGCATTTAAGGCTACATTTAAATATTTTAAATATATTTGAATTTTAAAACAAATGCTTTGGTAACTTAGAAGGAACTGTTTATTTCCACTACTGGCTTTAGAGATTGTTATACTCTTTGAAACTACAGCTCAAGACATGGAGTACCAAGTTGTGTTAAGTAATATACTGGATCAGAAAAATACTAGCCTCAGTCTAGTTTTTGCTCCCATCCACTCTCTTTTACAATTGCCTAAAAAAATTTTAAAGAATAAATAAAAGTTAAAGAGGGAGGGGAAAAAAAATTCCAAACCTACTTTTTCTTCAGTCTTCTATCCTTTTCGGCTTGAGTTCCAAGTTTGCCTAACCCCAGGGACTCCTGAGCTGCAGCTTCAGTCTCCATAAAGCCTCCTGCAAAGAAAAAACTATCCAGATTAGGGTGTATGCATTGTATCAATTCTACAATTAGGTTCTTAAGAGTTTATTACAACAAGAATTTAGTGTCACATTCTAAAAAATATCCTCATTCTATTTTCAGTCCAACATGTATAAAATTGCATGGGGATACATACAAACATACACCGAGAAAATTTAAAGACAAAGAACTATGGGATACTATTTAGTGATAACAAGTGGTAACATAATAAATGTAGCCTGTACATTGACAAGTCTCCAAGCATCAAAGTCTACTTTTCTACTTTTATTAGAAAAAAATACAGCAAATGGGTGTCATGTGTAATATTTTTTCAACATTTGAAAAATTTGCAATATATCATGTATAAAATAGCATAGATATGTGAGCCCATTGACCAGAAACTAAATGTCTGTTTTCCCTTCCCCACAATGGGAGGCATCTGGCAGCTTCCTTTCCTGCTCCTAGAACCACATTCTGCTCAACTGGCCGATTCCTTTATTCTTCACTAGAAATCTCATTTCCAGAATCTGATGTGTTCTGGGCAGGTGTTTGCTTTGTTTTTTAAACTGAGAAGAAAAGTTTTACCCAACAGGTCACAAATGATTTGGTTTAGAGTCAGTATTACTGTCTTTGGAATGTATATGTATATATAATTTTGGAATGAAAAAACAATGAAAGAAAAGTAGAATGTGCATCAACACATTCGACAATGGTATAAGTTCATTCAGGATACCTAAGCATACAATTAATTCAAAAATTACCTATTGCCATTTAAGAATGGAGACTTAGGACCAGCAGATGGTGTAACATTACATTCCTAGACTCCCACATAACTGACTGCAGTTCAAGTCCCAGACTGGGCGGCTTGGAACTCACACTAGGGGTGTGTGTGTGTGCATGCCAGCCCAAAATGCTGAGAGGAGAATGGAGAAGGGATTGCCACATGGGCATTTCCCCTGGGGCATGGGGGTAGGGTGATTTCTCACTTTCTGTCTCTGTCTTTCCAGCGAGTGCATGTGCCTTATAGCAAAAGTCTCTCTTTCTAAAGAAAAAAAAAAAAAAATGAAGACTTAATCCTGTCACTTGCATTTTCTTTGCTACTTACTGTATGTTTAAAAAAAAGTGAAGTCAAGCTAAATTTAAAAATGTTCACTACTTCTAAATGAAGATACAGACATTTATTTAAATTCTAGTTGAGCTCAAGATTAGGTAGAAAGATTTAAGCTAATGCTGACTTATAAAACTATGTGAAAACTTCAGTAATATATCAGATGATAAAGACAATTTTTACTCTTCTCTTGTTATCATGGACATGTCCTTACTCAACACATTTACAGCACTTGACTAAAGTATGGTTTCTCATTAACTGAGTAAAATATCTTAATAAAGCACCTGAAGCATAGTTGGACATTACTGTTCTTCATAAATTGTTTTAGTAAATAATCTAAATTATAAATACTGGGTACTATTAAGTCTGAAACACTGATAAAAATAAATTAATCTTAAAGTCTGATAATCCTATTATTGAGCTAATACTTTTAAGAAAATCCTTTTCATTGAAAACCCATTGATGTCTGTCTAGAACTCATCCAGTGATGTAAACTTGAGGACCAGCATATATTTTGCTTATTACACCCAAGTGCAATTAACACTTAAATAACTTTTGTTTTTTATTATGATTTTTTTAAAGAGGTATTTTTGCTATAGGGCACATGTGCTCACCAGAGACACAGAACAGAAAGACAGAAAGCGAGAAATCACTCCATAGAGGGGACGGCCATGCCACAATCTCTGCTCCTCCATTCCCCTTTTGGGATTTTGAGCATGCATGCATGCACACATGCTTGGCTTGAGTTTTAAGCTACTGGGTCCGAGATTCGAACTTCAGTCACTATGTGGTAGTCCAGCAATGTAACCATTACGTGATCTGCTAGTCTCATACTATAAATTATTTTTAAGGTGTCATTAGGAAAGCCACCTATTGGCTAACTACAGAATTCTTGTGATCATTTTTAAATGTGGAATTTTCTATTATGCACAATGATTTTATTTCATCTGTATATTTGTTTTATTGTACACCCATAAATTAGTACTATTCATAATCCACAGTTAACATAAAAATGGTCTCTTGAGATGTAATGGAAATTAAAGATTTACTTAAAAGTTATAAAATTCTCACTAGTGGTTTCATAGTCTCGAGGACCAATCTACATTTCCAGGTAAAGCTACCATGGCTGCCCAAACTATGTATAAAAATATCCTTGTTAAATAATGCTGATGCAGTGTTGATGTTTTTGTGACTATGAAATTACTTTGTTCATTATGCTTATTATAGCAGGTCATTGAGTTCAGACAATTATAATACAACCTGGCAGATGATCATAAAGAGAATGAATTCACAATTAAACAGATTTAAAAAAAACCTCATTATATCTGACTCTCAAATGCATTTAAAGGAAATATTTGCCTTTTAAAAACTTAATATACACATTTTAATATCTGCATCTGGGGATTCTGCTTTTTCAAAGCTAATAGGTCTATCTTTGTTCTATTTTGTTTATGTCTTTGCTATATTTGGCTCTATTGTTCAATTCTTTGTTCTTGAAAAACCTGTTTTAGGTTTCTATTCTATCTTTTGTAATGCCTCTCGACAACCTTCTTAAAATGTTTATTTTCAATTGACACAATGATTGTATATACTTTTATGGATTTACAGTGTAATTTTTTTACTCCATGTCTGCAATGTGCAATGATTATATCAGGGTAAATAGCAATCTGCATTTCAAACACTTATCATCACTTTTTCTTGGGAATAGTCCAAATCTTCTCTTTTTACCTATTCTGAAATATACAATAAGCTATTAATTATAGTCACTCTACTGCACTATATGACACTAGAACTTATTCCTACTAACTTTAATGCTGTGTCTGTTATCCAATATCTCTTCATCTTTCCCACCCCTCATTCTTCCCAGCTTCTAGAAATCACTCTCCATTCTACTTTCAACTTCTATGAGATCAACATTTTTAGTTTCCACATATGAATGAGAATACATGATTTTTCTGGTTATTTCACTTATAATGTCACCTGGGTTCACATATCTTGCTTCAAATGATCAGATTTTATATTCTTTTTAATGTCTGAACAGTGTTTCGCTCTATGTATAATACCACGTTTTCCTTACGCTTCCGTCTGTTGATGGACACAGATGGATCTCATGTCTTATCTCTTGAGAACAATATTATAATAAACATTGGACTACAGATATCTGCAAAATACTCATTTCCCTTCCTGATCACTCACTGTTGACACCAGCAAAGTTCAAAATGCATATTTTGTTTTTCTTTCTTCATCATAATCACTATTAGGGCTCTCTGAAGTCCTGGTGTTTCCCAAGTGGTAGATAATCTGATGAATCAAAATACTGATTTCCCTTCCTATATGAAGGGCTTCATCTTTATCCTGATCACTCACTGTTGACACCAGCAAAGTTCAAAATGCATATTTTGTTTTTCTTTCTTCATCATAATCACTATTAGGGCTCTCTGAAGTCCTGGTGTTTCCCAAGTGGTAGATAATCTGATGAATATGTTAAAATTACATGGAGCAGATGATTCCCCCAGAAACGGTAAATGTTGTAACAGCTCTGTGTCTTCTTCAGACACTTTCCCCATACCCCAAGCTGGTAAACTGCTCTGGAGCCAACACTTGCTGGAATTGATTGTTGTGTGCTTGGCTCTACTTCAAGTTGCATTAACAGGGTCTTTGTAGCTGCATAACTTGACACTCAGTCCTAATTATTTCCTTTGCTTGATACTGTGATCTCACACTCCTGATGCCAGCCAGTACCCACTTCCTAATTAACTATAGAAAAGACCCAAGCTTCCTTCTCCCACACTCCCTTTGGAGTTAGTCTTCATGGGGCTTCAAGATCCTTTTCTCATAGAGACATTGATACAAAATTCTAGCTGTGTATCATTTCAATTCTGTAGGAAAAATGCACTTAGACATTCCTAATGGAATAAAATATATCCAGGGAGAGAAAAAAATTAATCAACTAAACTCTTTCTAAATAGTGTGTCTATATCTTTTATTAGAAAATTTATAATATATTCCACCTGATGTTTCTTTTTACTGTTGCCTTGAACTCTTATTTATTTTTCGATTGTTATTTTGTGGAGGTTTTCGCTATACCACAAGTGTGCTCACCAGAAAGAGAGAGAGAGAAAGCGAGAAATCATCCCCTCAGGGGAGTTGGCTATGCAGCAATCCCTTCTCGTCCATTCTTCTCTTGGGATCTTGGGCACGCACACACATCTTAGCACGAGTTTAAGCCACTGGGTCTGGGACTTGAACCGTGATCGACTACATGGGAATCCAGCGACATAGCCATTATGCCAACTGCTGGTCCCCTTATTTACTTTTTAATAAGCTTATATCTACTATCTTTAAGAAGTTAGAAACTTTCTGAAGTAAATAATCATATCTTCAACTTTTTAAGTTCCCAAACAAGTTCTACAGGGCTAAGATCTTGATGAGATATTTCTTTGTTGAAACAGTCACAAATCTATGCTGTCTGGAACACTAGCCCAGGAAGTAAGAGAGAGGAATCACTATCTGCTCTCCTACTATGTAGTTGCTTGGCCATATGAAAACACCTCAGTTTCTCTAAGTATAGGATGTAGGTCATTAATCTTCTTGTTATTTTTTTAAAAGAATTATCTAACATTATTTATTAATTTATTTTACTTTTGACCAGAGAAGGATAGAGTGAGAGAGAGAGAGAGACAGAGAGAGGAAGAGAAAGTGAAAATGAGAAAGCAAGCGGCCAGGTCCAGGACTTGAACCACAGTGGGAGTCCAGTGTCCTTAACAACCACGCCACCTGCCAGCCCCTAAAGTAATCTTTAGAAATCTTCTAGGACCTTTAGCTATCTTCTAGCTCTAAAAGTCCGTAACCTTAAAGATAGAAATTTATTTTCATAACAAATAATTT